CTTTGTTTCAAAAGGATAAACAACTGGCATATTCAGTTAGTGTAAAAATGGTAGAACCACCCACAACAAATATTGTAAAGAAGAACCGATATATATTTTACAGTTTTATAATAAAACTCGTTTTTGGCGGTTGATTCTATTAAACACAAAAAAGTAGTCTATTGAAGATCTTATGGATAAGATTTCAAAAGCATAAGGAAGATCTTAAATTCTCAAGGAATTTTTTTGAACATAAACAATTTACTTTTAAACGTTATCATCTCCCGAAGTAATTGTTGTTTGCATGAAATATAAATTAGAATCAGACCCCTGCATATTTTATTTTTCAAAACTTATTTGACTTGATGAGTATTGAACACGAACTGCGTAATGTACATCTACGGTTTTATGCATTCCTCCTTTGATAAGAACCCTGTATTTAAAATTGATGGTGCAGAGATTTTGTGTAATGAGACTGTCAAATTATTGGGAATTGATATTGATTTCATGCTCAAGTTTGATGTCCATATTAGTAATATCTGTAAAAAAGCTGCTCAACAATTAAATGTGTTAAAACGCATTGGCTCAGTATTAACTCGGGCAAACAAAATTACAATATTTTATAGTTTTATTTTGTCAAATTTTAACTTCTGTCCTCTTGTATGGCATTTCTGCTCCAAGAAAAATGCCAGGAAAATTGAGAAAATTCAAGAAAGAGCTTTACGTTTTATTTATGAAGATTTGGAGAGTAGCTATGAGTCATTACTACTTAAGGCAAAATTACCATCATTAGAGATTAGAAGAATGCGTAGTACGGCTCTGGAATGTTTTAAGATTTTACATGACCTTTCTCCTAGATGTCCTGTCAGACTTAGTGAGTTTTAAGAAAGTGACATACAATTTTAGATATTCAAACATTTTAGAAATACCAAAAGTGAGAACTACATCATATGGCAAAATGTCTTTTAGATATGCAGCACCAGTTTTATGGAACTCCTTACCTGAACATTTTAAATGTCAAACCATTTTTTTACAGTTTAAATCTATAATTGCCTCTTGGAGCGGTAAGGACTGTGAGTGTACAGCCTGCTCCACTAGGTAAGTTGTATCTTTTTGTTTGTGTGTCTGTGCATGTGTGTCAGTTTTTCTTTTTTTATTTTTTTTCCTGTTATGTTCTTTTATGTTTCTGTCGATGTACTGTTTGCATGTTTGTAATGTTGTGACTTATGTATGTATACCTGTTGCCTTCTCTATGCATCTGTACTGTATTATCTATGTGTCTGTACATGTGTGTTCTTATATGTATCTTTAACTGATGTTGTCCTTTGAATTAGACTGTGTGCTATATTGTTGCAAGTAATTCTATGTTTATATAGTGCTGCATGTTTTCATTGTTTTACTGTTATGTATATGTTAATCATGTCAGTCAAAAGCTCAATAGAGCTTGTGTTACTTTTAACTACCATACTGACTTTAAATAAAGCTTATCTTATCTTTATCGCGGGTTTGTTAAGGCAGCACATGGATCAGAATTCGGCGAATTAACACTTTTTTTATAATTATGCAGCACTAATAAATCGGAAAAGTCAAGGATAACACTTTTACTATAATTGTGTATTCTATAGACTTCAATGGAACTTATACTACAGGAGGCACTTCACCACGACGTCACCACGTGACGTCTATAATTAGAAAATATGCCTTAATGAAAAAGTGAAAAGTTTAATACTACCCCGGGGATAATTAGTTCCACTTTATATCAGTAGTTATGTTAGAACATCTCTGTACCATGAAAAGTGCTGCTAGAAACCTACTGTCCTCTTATAGATATAATTATTCAACAATTTCGGACGAAACCTTCCTAAAATTTTTACATTTTGTTCACAACATCGAAAAAAATGCATTAATTCCCGTTAACCATACGATTCTAGCAGCACTTTCCAAAAACAAAAGAATAAGAACTTTAGATAGAAACAAAAATTAAGTTTCAAAGTATGCGGCGTAGTGTTGAACTTTTGCATCTTTTTTGTTACGAACGACAGAGGAAAGGCTGATCGGCAAGTAAACACCCTCTCTGCTTTAATTTTACGAAGAAATTGCAGAATTATATTACCATACCTTATTCATACGCTTTATTCCCACAAGAATTACACATGATATTCATTCTAAATGCTTTTAAACTCCGATTTTTTGTGTTTGTTTACATCAATTTTCGTTACTTTTCACTTCAATCTGCTACTGCATGATCAACAGTTATGACGTCACGGGTTTGGTATGTAACCCCTGTGATAACTACAGAGGCCCAGGAACGACAAAATTCCGTTGATATTATTCCTCTGCATATTTTGGTTCATTTTTACGCCCTCAAATCAATCTTAGATATCGATTTTAAGAAATTTTTATCTCTAAATCTCACGTCATATAGCTTATTATGACGTCATAGCATATAGGCAAGTAGAATATTTGGTTGTAACCTTAACCTACCTGCGATGTTTGTTTATTCTTGAAATTCAAAATGTAAAAAAATATTAGTTCATTACCTGATCTCCTTTGTCTAGGAAGAAAAAGATTTAGTTCTTCTTCACTGCCTGAAATTATAAACAAATAACAAAAGCCGCTGATCAGTATTTACAGGAAATTTATCGCATCAAAATTATTATTTGGAGGCGATGTTGGAAAAATTCTTTTTTTATATTTAAATCGCTTATGTTTACAGGATATGTTTTAGCTAAAACATTTTTTTTCAAGAGTAGAGTTAATATTTTGGTAATTTTGAGGGCGTAATATCATATTAAATGAAAGAAATTCTTTGCACTTCATTTGGGACATTGATTCTTTAAATTCCTTTACTCAGAAATTAATTCCAAAAAGTCATTTGAAATTGAAAAAAAAAAATTTAATGCATTTTCTGCAACATTTAAAAGCATTATCAATACCTCTCATTAATTAGGTCACAGAGTGACATTTTTTATTACGAATAATCAGTCAATTAGTACAACTAGGATATAAGTTAATGTGGAAGATTGCAGCTGTAGTTTTCAGTCACTCATCAAGCATTCATAATTCATGATACCTGAACATTTATTGTCATCTTGTTTGCATTGTATTCTTGTCTTAACTGTGTTTTGAGTCACGTGATAATTTGAATTTGATTGTCTTGTGATCTATTGTCATTCTTGATGGGAGTGGTAGAACCAGTACTTATGGGATAATGTCGTTATCGTACGCAATTGTGAGTCCTGGTATAAATGTTTATGCATGGACTATTGCTTTTTAAATCTTGACAATACTTTAAATTGGATATTCTCCTGTGAGAAATCTTTAAACTGTTTATCTGACAAAATCCTTTCGGAATCTAAGTGCCTTATTGTCCTGACTGGTAAGCATGATCAAATATTAATGCTGATTTAAAACTTTTCAAAGTAAATAAATATTAGTGTCATTGATTGATTGTTTGATGTTTAACGTCCCTCTCTAGAATTTTTCACTCATATTGAGACACTCACTACTACAGGCCGTGGAAAGACAAACATTTCGTCCTGAACTCGGCACTAAGGGCCATTGAGCAGAGAGGGATCTTTATGTGCCATCACCTACTGCGATACGGGACCATGGTTAATACAGTCTCATCTGAAGGACTGGACTCCACGTCCCACAGTGGGAATCGAACCCGCGACGTAAGGATTGACTCCTCACTTCACGACTTTAGAACAGACGCCCTAACCACTGCGCCACTCGGGCGATGATATTAGTGTGAGTAATTTTGTTCAATTGTGTTTTTTTTTATTTCAAGTAACTTCTGTTTACTTTGTTTAGTTCATCTTGTTTTGAAATCATCAATTAGATAATAATTGTTGACCTTAATATAAGGAATTGTGTTGTCAGTTTCTATTATGGAAGACATAGTGACAATTATAAAGTAAAAAAAAATCTTTACAACTTTTGTTAATGAATTTTGAGGATTGCAAAACATTAAAAACTAAACGACAAGGTCGGAAGAAAGAGATAAGTAAGTAATCAAGTCAGGACCTTTAAGCTATATTTGGAAGGTTCATGGGAAGAAGTAATTTCATACAAGATACATCGCTCCTTCGAGATTTTAATTGGTTTATTTTTACCATATTTACACATCAGATAGGTGAAATAATATTGAAAAAAGCAGTCAAATTTCTCATTACTAGTGTTGTGTACATGTACAATATCTCTCCAAGTTGTCCAACATCGATTTTTTGCGGTCAATAAAACATTTAATTTCTTTTTAAATGAAGGTTTTTAGGGAATTAAAAAACAATGAATTTTACTCACCTGCGTTGTTTGACTTGCGGCGTGAGGACCTTTGACGTCTCTTGTGAAGTATATATAAAGCTACAAAAACAATCACGGCAATGATGCATGTGGAAACGACTCCAGCAATAATTTTCGTGGTATCATCCTCTGGTTGGTATACATAGCTAGTGTTTGGGAATACTGACCTGAAAATTAACATGATTTTGAGCAATTTTTTTTCAGAGTCAAGTAATTGTAGTCCGCAAAATGTTGAAAATGCTATCTAACACTAAAACATACAAACACAAGAAAAAAGCGAAACAAAACACTTTGCTCATATAATTAATTTTGGTCATGATATTCTTTACTAGATGTCCTCTTTGTTATAACAAGTGTGACCCGCCCTGCCGCCTGGTGTCATAATTTAGAGAATATAAAATCTACACTACCCCTTAATGATGCCATGTAAGATTTTTCCTATATATTTCAATATTAAACTTAGATTCCTTATTGTAATCCCATCCTTTCCCTTGAAATCGGGGTAATAATTTTAACAATTGAAGACCTACACTACCACTGGATGCATCAAAATCATTTTCAGCTTTTCTGCCCCAGTTGTTCTTGAGAAGATTTTTCAAAGAATTTTCATATATATTTCAATGATGCGATCAGTTTCCTTATTGTTGCCCCGCCCTACCCCCGAGATAATGATTTTTAGGTCAACTAAATTATTTAGGTGGCCTATTGCAATCTGTATTCGTCCGTCGTCGTGCGTCATGTGTCATGTTAACATTTGAAGATTTTCAACTTCTTCTCTGAAACCACTGAACCAATTCAGCCAAATTACAGCATTAAAGGGTTAAGGTTAAAAATAATGTGAATTTTAAGCCTCCCCCTTTAGTTGGTCTGAGGGGTGGAGCCAAAAACCACTAAAATTAATGAAATCTTTAAAAAATCTTATTCTCCACTCCTGGATAGCAAGCAGTCAAACTGTTGGTATGGATGTAATAAACATTGAGTCCTCTACCAAAAATGTGAAACTCATGGCCCCAGGGTCAGGGGTTCATGTCCCAGGGTTATGTAAATTATTATGTGAAGATCCAAATACTTCTTTGAAAATATTCTCTGTTCCTGGGTGTTGAAAATAAACTAACTTAGTACAAATTTATTATAAATAAGAGAGCTTCTTTCAGACTTGTGAATTTTATTATTGTGCGGGTGTATTAAATAAAAAAAAAACTTAGTATATAGTTATATGAGCAAGACTGCCTCAAAAAAACTTTGAATCACATCGCCCCTGTGTCGGGGGTTTTGCCGTTTGGTGAAAGAGGTGTAAGTTATTTTGATTATATAGTGAAAATACACTAACTGTTTGAAAATCTTTTCCAATGCCCCGGAGTATTATGCCAATGTTCTGAGTATATATATTTATAATGAAAAAAGGTATACCTAGCAAAATAATTAATTTCATGTCCCTTGGTTCAGAAGTATCGGGGAAGGGGTATACATAGTCTGAGAATAAATCAATGCTTTGAAATCTGCTCTTTCGTAATAATGGCATTTATGATGAAATAAATTTGATGAAAAAATTTATTTTTTTTAAATAAATGGCCCCAGGGTCATTGGTTCCTTTGGAGTGGGGTGCAAAACTGGTTATAAAATGATAGTGCATTTTCTCTTTGATTCTCTGATCTACCTCTGGATATAAAGTAACCAAAGTAAACATGCTGAGTAAATAATTTTGATAAGCCACTGTGTCTCTCTCAAAATTGTGAATTTCGAGGTTTTTGAATTAAAATACGAACCGAATTAAGATGTTGGAGAGTTGCTATATAATACCCATGTGACTTTGTAGGCCCACGGGCATCTTTTAACAATTTAGAATCTACACTGCTATATGATGCTTCCAGATAAGTGTCAGATTTTCTGCTTTAGTGGTTTTTGAGTCTTGAGAGGATTTTTTTTTTTAAAGATTTTGCCAATATATCTTTATGTTTAGTTTGGTTTGCCAATAGAAGCCCCGCCCTAGCCCCAGGATCATGAGTTTTACACTTTAGAATCTTCGCGACCCCAGAATGTATCCACATATGTTTTAGATTTTCTGACCGAGTGGTTCTTCAAAAGAAGATTTTTAATGACCCAACCTTCTTGCTGTCATCTGTTGATTATCTCCCAAGTAGGGGGACTAGGTCCTTTATTTTGATGATTAAAAATTCCCTTCCGCAAAGGATGCTTTGTACCAAGGTTGGTTTAAATTGGCCAGTGGTATTTGAGAAGAAGTTGAAAATGTGAAAAAGTTTACAACTGACGGACAGACGGTAGACGGTTACATGTAACAGGTCACTTGAGCTTTCAGCTCAGTCGATCAAAAAAGAAAAAAAAATATCTTACATTGAATCGTCTGGCATAATTGGTGTAGTATTACCCTCTGGGTGGTATACATACATGCACATGTGGCTAGCGTTATGTGATATTGATTTGGACATTTATTTGACTTTGAGAGTCCAATATTTTATTGTCAGCATAATTTATACAATGCTGCTTTAAACTAAAAAAAATTAAAATGATGTACAAGTGTCTTACATTGAATCGTTTGGGCAGTTTTCTTTTGCCAAATAGCATCTTTTCTCTGAATTTATTTCTAAACAGGCGGGATCTGAAAAAAAATGATTCAATGGAATATTAATGTAATGCGATGAGAATATTGTTTTCATTTATATTTCAAATGAAAGAAATAGTAATTACATTTATACACTTCATTTGTATTGTAGGCTTCTTTTGGACAACCTCTGAGAAACGTTGAGCAGTTTAGAGCGTCCAGGTGTCCAGTAGATACAGCGTAAGGACACAAATCTTTAAATTATATAAATCATATTTATATAAATTAATTTATTACAGCATCAGAGTAGAAATTAAATTAGAATTGTTTAATTATATACAAGGATAATAAGCTGACTAACTTGCTCCATATCTGCCAATACTCCCTTGAAGACAAAACTCAACAAGTGAAGATCTGTTGTCATTAGGTACACACTGGTAAAGGTTTCTTCCTAGTGTGTCATTAGGACACTGTAACTTAATGCCGTTGTTAAGCCACGAACTGGCGTTTGTAGGACATGAGGTCACTGACTTTAACTTCACGTTCATTTCCTAAATAATCAATTTTATAAATTTTGATGGATAATTTTTTTGAGAATTCTTAAGAAATATGAAGAAAAAATATGTTTGGATTTAAGAAACTGCCATTTTTACATAGCTACAACCTTATTGTAACGAGGAACACGGAAGCTCACAAGAACAGGTCATATATAACAGCCAAAAGATTCCTCTACCACTTGATTTTACATTTTCTGCAAAAGAAAAAAAATGTTCACATAAATAGTTTACGGTGGATATTCAATAATTAATGTCCTCTGTGCTCGGAAGGACTGTCATTTTCAATGAAAAATTGAGAAACCAGTATAGAAAATGGGAGTTTTTTCCATATCAGACAAAGAAAATGTATCCAGATTGCCTACAGTTTTTCAGAAATCGGTTATTTGTATATTCTTAGTCTCTACTTTAAAATAATATTAAATTTAAGATAGGTATCGGGACTAATTTTCATGTGATTTCAAATTGAATTCTATGAAAATACTTAATTTTCTACATAATTCTATTAGAGCTGTAAAATACGGGAAAAAGAAAGTTGAAAGTGATTATGACGTCATAATGGATTTAGCACTGAAAAGTTATTCTAAAGTCATTTACTAGATCTTGACCTTAATAAAAAAGATACATGTCGTGAAAATTGTTATCTCATTTCGGATTCCCTTTACCCTTAAGCTTCATTAATATATTGTATACCCATCTATAAACCGTTTTATAGAACGAAATATACTAGGCCTTTGCTTAATATTTTCGAGCCATTTGCGAATTAATACAATGCACACAATGAGTTGATGAATGAATCATACACCCAGATGACATTCTTTTGAGGCAATTTTTAAAAGATCTTATTCATTTAACCTAACTGTTCACGACTCTTCGCATCAAAAAGTTTTTTTAAAATCACATCTATTCGTTGAAACAGTAAATATTGAAACATACAGAAAATGATACATTTTTTTAAACAACATATTGCATTATATATTTAATGATATTTCTGGGCAGCGGCCTACCTGAGTCAGGAAAATATAAGAGTTATAAAATCAACTGATGAAATGATAAATCAACTTTTAAATATAATTTACGCCGTTAGAAATAAACTAAATGACTAAAACAAATATGTGCACAATTTGTGATGCAAAGTGATTTAATTAAGGTTTCACATATTTTATACAAATGTATGTAAACAGCAGGAAAAGCATTTTAAGACACTCTAATTAAACAAATAACGTTAAGATGAAAAAATGAAACTTTGAACTTCTTGTTGAATTGCCATATAAATGTATGACATGCATGATACTCTCTCTCTCTCTCTCTCTCTCTCTCTCTCGTCAGATTTCCAAGTGAGTTAAAATGTAGAACCAAGCAATGCATCTTTTTACTAGTTTTCCTCAGAATGAATGGGTAAAAGGTCAATTGAAAAAAGGGTTTTCTTCTACCTCTTAAAATTTAACATATGTGACCTTATTATTTTATTGGTATTCATTGCTGTTTTTATTAAACGCACTCCTCAATGAAAAGGGTGTGAGCAGTTCATTTGATTTGAAAATAAAGATACTTTAAAAACTTAAATCAAAGTAAATTTTGAATTTTGGTATTTATGCCCCCCTCCCTTAGTGGAATATCGATAGTACGCATTACAGTAAAATAATAAGTTGTGCTATATTATGTGTCTATATCTGTTAAATGTTATGTTTACCTCCTGATAACGCATATAACATTCTTTTAAAAGTCAAGTACAGCAGTCTGATTTAAACAAACCCTTGATAAAAATCACTGAATTTGATAACTAACCTAACGTTTGTTTTCTTTTTTGTCCCGATAAACATTGTACAATCTTCACAAAATTGATCTTACATGTACATAATATAGATTCCTTAATTGTCGTGATTTTGAACCTAAAAAAATATGTGTTCTTATCAGTTAAACTGCTTATTTTTTTTTTAAATATTTACGCACAAACAAATAGGATTACCTGACTAGAGTTATTTACCTTTTAACTTCCTTCCATGCCTTTTAGATATCAACAACAGAATTTCAGACTCTAAGGTAAATTAAAAAGGCTACTTGCCATTGCTTACTTTAACGCTCAGTCATCACTCGATTCCGATCGGGCAGATACAACAAATATATCCACCCTTTCTCTTTGAACGAAGGAAATCCTAATTTCAAGTAGTTTCGTTTTAAATCACACACATGAGGAATTTTACTATGGATAGGCCTCAAGGTCAACTGGCGTCATAAACATGAATATTCATGATGATAATGTTTACAATTTCTTCCGGAAAAATACAATGAATATAATATGTTTTCATGTGTTTTAAAAGACACGCATCCTTTTTCATCTTTTCACCGAATAGAAAATTACTCTGTGGACAATCGACTGCTGGAAGGTGCATGAATTGATTAAATATTTAATTAGGAATTAAAATAAATAAATTGGTGTAAAATACTTTTAACTTTGACGAATATGTGTGTTTTTAAATGGCTCCTTCTATACTATGGGTTATTATTACAAATTCCATATTATAAAAAAAAATGGCTAAATACAAATGTTTTATTGTATACATTTAGTTTAATGTTCTTGAAAAAAAATGAATAGTAAGTGATTTAATTTATTAATTAATGTACTCCTCTTGTTTTTTTTTTTTGTTTAAATATTTAATTAGAACTTAAAATAAAACATAAATTGGTGTTAAATACTTTTTACTTGATAGTTTGTGTATAGTAAATGATTTAATTAATAAGTCATTGTACTCCTCGTGTTTTTTGTTTAAATATTTGTCCTTTAATTTTAAATATTTCAAAGAATAAGAAAAAATTTTCTCATGAAATATATAAATGTATATATAAGTAAATTTATATTATATTATTTTTATTAACAGTGCTTCTATCTGGTTAAAGGCACAAAGCATTCCAAAAAGTTTTAGATTTCTGTCGCTCGTATCTTTGGTTATTTGAGTGCTTTTTAAAGTATTAGATATTGGAACATTTACAAGTCATTAACACATATTCTACATTCTACACAGTTCTATTTTCTAGTGCCTTGCCCAGGGTGAGTACTTTAAATAACCACAAATGTAAGTAAAAGTTCTAATGCTATGTCGGTCTTCTGAATTAGAATTCACTCTACTTTATCCTCTCAACTTCTGTGCATTATACTGGGGTTTATTGCTATGCAGGGTCGAGCATGTCGTAAGATAGGATCGGGGCTTGGTAGAACCGGCGTAACTGAAAATATTGATATCAAAGGATGTACTATAGTTACATGAATTTATATGTGCATATTCGACAATGAGAATTCTAACACTGATAGTCTTCATCATCCAAAGTCACTTTACTGCATTCTCCCATGTAGCTTTAGTGTTCCTACCGTGTTCTTTACTCAGTCTGAGTCCTTATGAATGCGTACATGTACTTTAGTCATTGCTAACACAGAGACAGTTTAATGGAACCTAGGACGCACTGCTGTGTCCTCACACATTCTAATTTTCCTTCAAAATTCGTGCGCAATAAATTGTTTGTTATACCGTCTCAGTATCAAGAGTTTATCTGTAAGCTGCCAGTATGAATCTCACTGTGTAGCTATATTAAAATAATAAGTCCCGTTAAGTAAACTTTAAAAAATAGGACACATATTTTAGATTTTTATTGACTACGTGGTTACTGACTCGATTTCAATTAATTAATTGGTCACAAAGTAAACAATTGCACAGTGTAGATCAATTTTATATGTAGTAACTCTACGAGAGCCCCTGTAGTTTTGATAACTTTTTTCTTGATCTCCTGCGTTCTGTCTCCGATGTTATTACATTCAAAGATAACCACAGTGTTTCTAACGAGACATTATCATATACATATAACTTCAATGAATTCCAATTCTGCAATGAAGATGTGTTCGACATTGTTAATGGACCCTTTTTGTGTTTGCGGTACGTTCTTTCTATCCAATACTAGTGTAAAGACACAGGGAACATAGATGAAAAACAAAAAAAAATTACAATTTAAAAATAGCAGTTCTTGTACCCTATAGTCAATTGGAAAGAATTTAAGGGGCCTATAATATCGAGTTACCATCAAACAAAGACTGAAATCAATAGGTACATGTAATTTCACTCTATTTTTTTGTTTACCCGATGAGAAACGATTTATATATCGTTTTTCTAAAATATTTTTTTCACGGCAAATTTATTTACTAGGTGACATACCGTATAAGTAGACATTTTAGCGAGGATTTCATTTTGGCATTATTAGCGGGGCTGTTGAGATCGCTTAAAAAGGAATATTGCTTAATGGCGTGTTATTTGCACTTGCTTCTTTAATAAGCATTCTAAATCGCTAAAATTGCTTCACGCTAAAATTAAAATACCAATCTTAAAGGAGAAATTGCTAAATTTGCGTCTCGGTAAAATGTCCACTTATACGGTATTTTCCACATATTCTCAAAGAAATAATATCCATAACATTATCAAATACTTTCATATATTTGACAATTTGTGTTGCAGAACAAGTGGGTACTTTATTGAGAAAATCAAATCACAAAAAATGCCTTTTTCTGTAATGTACTCTTTTTATGCAATGTTTTAAGAAACGAAATTAATTATGAATATTAAGTCTTTAATTTGTTGTGTCATCTTAATGATTCATTGCACAAGTATTAAATTTATTGAATTAATGTTACTGTAATTTCTTTATAAAAAATGGCGTTTTAACTGTCCTAAAGGGTATCAGTCAAAATGTAGACGCTTTCGAAGTTAAAGAAATCCGACTCATCATAACTATTTATGAATGGTTTCTCGGTCGATATTTTATTGTCTAAAAACTTCGTTTGGATTTTTAAGCTTAGCGCGAATATTAAAATAATGTACAATTTTATTATAGGTCTACTCGTATCTTGGTGTTGAAATATTTCTTGCAGTTCGCCGCAAAGGTTGAATTTATTTTTCAAGGACATTTAAATTTATGTAAGTAAGTAGATTAACCCAAGAGGACTGTTTAGATCACGAGATATAAAATGGCTGGAAACTTATTTCCATCTGTCCATTCATTTCTTTGTCCGAACATCCTTCCAGTGTTCTCCTGTCTCTGCAGTAAGAATGCCTAATATTGTACAAGTTTCCAGATATTGACCTGATCTTTATATATATTTACCTCGAGTTAATACAAATAAGTCTTCACGTAGGAGTGGAAATAACAATTGTTAATTGACAATACGTCATCGATATATATGAAAGTTGAGTTGAAGGCCACAGGAAGAATTATCATCTATTCACGCATAAGATTTTGCATAAATTTTGCTTCTAATGTGAAATTCTAATGTGAAATATGTAAATTGAATACAAGTACAAGTAATTAAGACATGAGCAGTCGAAGGTACTTGAAAGCACTTACTGCAACAATACTGCAACACGGATATTTGGTTTATACTGTTTCAACTGAATGACCGGATCTTTTGTCTTGCAACGCGTACGGGATTCCATCTCAACGAAATTTTGTCGAATTCTTTACTCCACGACGTGAAAACATACGTTCTACCACTGTTCCACTCGCAGTAAGTATTGTAATAGAGACAATTTCTAAATTCTTTTGCTTTTTAATAGAAGATATTTGTTTTCTTCATCGTCTTATTAGATATTAATAAAAGTTCAGAACACAGTAAGACGTATACTCTTCTCTACCATTTAGAGACTTTATTTTCAGAGTAAATATACAAGCCCAGATCTATATTGAATGGAACGTATCGATCCTGACTCTGGGTACCTTTCTGTACATGCTTTACAAAAAAATACGCAATTAATAAGACTGAATAGAGCTTAAAAAACAATCATTTTTTCCTGAAAGAACGGAAAACCGTCCTATGAGTTAACTTGTTTTTTTCTATCCCTTCTTCAAATATTTTCTACAGTACTGTGAAATTTTAAACAAGTGAAAATCGGAAAGAATTTTTTTTTTCAAATAGCCGTTGTATACTTAGTGATAATACACAGTCAAATTATAAACGCACATACTCTGAAATTTGTTGCAAAGAATATTTTTCTGCAAATCAAATTTTATATTTTGAATCGTAAAATGTATGAATATGAAGCTTCAAAATCTTACCAACACACGGTTTCAAATTACATGCCATGGTTTCCATGGTCATGACCTGACCATCACATGGTTTCCGCAATACAATGGAGCTGGCTCAGAACAACTGCGGATTCTAACACGTGTCCTGGTTCAATTGTTAGAAGAAGAGAAACATTTACTCCAGGCCCCATATGGAACGAATGACGACAACTGGCCATCGACTAAAACGAAATGATGATATTTGCAACAGTTTCTCATACCCTTTTAAATAATTTTATCAATGGAGCTTTTATTCATGTAAATGTCATAATAAAACTCAGCTATGTTAAGGACCGATATGGAAAATGTGACCTTTGCACCGTTTTAATATGTATTGCTTCTTTTAAAAAAAAATTTAACAAAGCAACTAAATATTTGTAGAAAAGGTAATATAGCTATAAATAATGGATACGACTGGACCGTAGTTATTACCAGTTATATCGCACGTATCAACTGTTTGTCACGTGACTTGTATAAAATTAGAATTGTTAAGCTGAATGTAGAAAATGTTGATAGTGCAAGGGCATACGCTTGTTTTTCAAGAAAATAATTGATACACATTAAAAGAGGTGTATATCCTCTACCCAAAAAGTGCTGGGAGCTAGTCAGTGCTGTTTGCGAAGTACTTAATATTTTTTTCCGAAAATGCTTATAATAGCTAAAAATTTCCACTTCGCTTAAATTCTGTTATAAATAAAATTAATGTTATGCAGACCAGGATCAGCTCCCAGCACTTTTCAAAATATACACTATATGAGCAATAAATATTCCTAATTTCAGCTCACACAAAATAGTCTATGCCCTTGCACTTTTGATGTATATCACAAATACGCTCATCGTTTTAGCGATATTCTCTATATTCCTTATCCCTGTGCAGCTTCAATGCTACAGTACCCGCATCGTTATTCTTTACAATTCTATCGTGTTCTATCGTGCGTGTATCCTATCGTATCGTGCGTGTATCCTATCGTATCGTGCGTGTATCCTATCGTATCCTATCGTATCGTGTTTTCCGTTTATCAGGTTTTGCGTTTTCTATCGTGTTTTCCGTTTATCGTGTTTTGCGTTTATCGTGTAGATCGTTTATCAGGTTCTATCGTTTATCGTG